GGGCATGGGTGGCGGACTTGGACAGATCGCCATAATATCACTGTCCTTGCAGCGCCGCATATTTTAATGTCTACCCCTTTAAAAACCCCCTTTGAAATGAGATCGGTAAGAGAGGAAGCCAGCCCCGTGGCCTTGGGGAGCAGTCTGGAGCACGTGTGAAGTGTTTGCAATGTCACCGCATTCTTCCTCCAGCCTGGTCTCCTGAGAACTCTGCTCCAGTCACTGACCCGACGCAGCGCATCAGACGCTGTGCATCAGACTCACAGTCAGTAGCATATTTGAGATGAGAGAAAAATGGCCCAGAGAGGGGACCACAGGGAATGACAGAGAACATCGGGGTGGGACAGCTCGGGTGGTCTCGGTGGGGCTGGGGCTGAAGCTGAGCCACCAGGCTCCTCTTTGCCACAGTTCTTCTCCAGAGCGGATGCTGTTTCATCTGCCTTTCAGCGCTGAGGCAACCACAGCGTAGCAGGGCCAAGGGACAAAGCCAAGGCCACGACGTGAGGACATGGCCGAGCTGGGCTTCCTGCCTGGGCAGACTCCAGGCCCGGTGCCTGCCTCAGGCCAGGGTGGCTGGTCCTGGTGGCCTCGGTCACGTACACCTGGTAGAGATCAATGCCTCCAGAGTCCGAGTGGCTGCTGTCCACACACTCCTCCCTGGAGGAGTGAGCATCTGGGACCCCGCTTTGCCCACTGGCTCTGGATGCCCCAGAAATGGAGGTGGGGCTGGGGCAGCGGCGCCTTCCCCTCAACCCTCTCTGAGCAGGGCCTTGGGAGCTTCCCAGGGTCCTCCTGGACGGTGGGCCCAGGGGACAGGAAGGGGAAGGGGCTGGCAGTGCAGCTGCCTGTGTCTCCCCTGCTTAAATTAGCTCTTTGGTGACCCCGTGGTCTCTCTGATCCCCATCCAGCATTGGCCTGTGAGACACAGGTGGTGTCAGCCTCAGGGGCAAGGGTCAGCCTGGCTGTCGATAGCGCCGTCCATCAGGCCGGCCGGGCTGGGTGTCGCCCGGCAGCGATTGGGTCATCTGGCCCCTCGTGCGGGCCAAAGTGTCGGGTGGCGTGTGCAGCACAGCAGGTGGCCAGAGGGGAGGTGAGGGTGTGGAGGCCATCGGGCGGCAGACTTCAAACCTGAGGCCCAGGGTGGCAAACAAGAGGGAGAACACACAGGCCAAGACAAACGAGCCACGGCAGAGCCCAGGGAGACAGACAGGAGGTCTGGAATGCCCGGGAAGGGGAAGGCCGAGGGTGAGCCGTGCTTACCTTGCTGGCCGTGGCAGCATAGAAATTGTCCCAAAGTCACCACAGTGCAGTGGCATATGGCAACACAAACACTGCAGAGTCAGAGAAAACTAAGACAGCAGTGTGTGCTTGTCATGTGACACGGCTCACGAATTCATCAAAGTGACTGATGAGTGCATTACCAAAGGTAGACTGGCTGCCATGAAGGAGATGAAAACTTCATTTCCCAAGAACTTAACCGGCCATCTCGGCTTATGCGCCGTGGCTGGGGATATCATAGTACGCAAAACAGACCCTAAAGCCCACACTTGTGGTGCTCCCAGCCTAACGGAAACCGGATTCAAACAGAACACTGGTAACGTTGTACAATGTGCCAAAATGTGTGGTAAAGACATTAAGAGAAAGGAAGGAGGTCAGGAGTTGGGCGCAGTTTGCTCCTTTCCGTAGGTTAAAAGAGAAGATGTGTATGAGGTGTGGCGTGTGAGTGGCGTCCCGAGGGGGGCAGAGAGAGCCAGAGATGAGACAGAGATACGTGGGAGGGATCCCCAGGACGGGGCTACAGCTCGTGCAAAGGTCCTGAGGTTGGGGTGTGCCGGGAGGTGTGTGAAGGGTTCCGAGTGACTCACGCAAGTGGTGGCTGAATGAAGGGGCCCGAGAAAGGCACAGGAGGAGGTGTAACACAGGCGGGCTCCACATGGTTTGTGGGCCACCGAATGCCCTTAGCTTCCCATAAGGAGACTGCAGGGGACAGAGGAGCGACATTGTGCCACTTGGGCTGGGGGTTTGGAAACTGTAGGGGGGGCACAGGCAGAAGCTGGGGACAAGAGGAGAGTCCTTGGTGGCCTTTCTGAGCGGGGGCGGCTGGGAGTCCAAGTGGATCTCCGGGCCGTCTCTGCCATCTCCCCAAGCTCGCGGTTCTCTCCACACGGAGGTCTTCCCTGACTCCTTTCTCTTCCTCCCCCCAACCCTGCCTTTCAAGACTCAGCACCCATTTCCTCGGCCATGGCGTCTCCGGGACAGCTCTAAGTGCGTTTCCTTCCTGGAATGACTTGCACTTCTCAGACCCCATTTGCATCCTGTGGTATTGCTCTCAGGCCTGCCCCAAAAGGCTGTAAGAGTTGCTCACTGTGCAAATGATCTGTCCAAAGCAGTCAATGGGAGGTGAGATCCGCTGATTCACCCAGCCTTGAATGCTCCAATGCAGGCACTTTCCAATTCCCACAAACCTTGATGAAGCCGAGTTAACCTCTCCCCTTAGACTTAGCTCACATCTCTGTTCTTGGTGCCTAGGACAGTGTCCGAATATTTGTTGAGTGAACGCATGAGTGGCTGGACACTTAGGCAGATGGAGAGAAGAAAGGATGCTGTTCTTCACAGCAGGACAAATCCACAAACACGGAAAAATAGTCATTAACTGATGGCAAAAGGCTCATGAGCACCCGGGGGCCATCCTGTCAGAGTCTCACCATTTCTAGCAGGCACACGCGCCTGTAATCCCAGGGTACTGGAAGGCTGAGGCAGGATGAACTCAGCTTGGACAAGTTAGTGAAATTCTGTCTCGAGATTAAAAACAAGAAAGGGCTGCACATACAGCTCTGTGCGAAGGCCCCAGGTTCTCTGCCCAGGACAGCAACAACAACAACAAAAAGTTACCATTTCTCACAGGATAGGTTGACAAACTTTTTCTCAAGGGACCAGAGGAAAAAACAGCTCAGGCTTTGCAGGCTGGAAGGCCTCTGAGGTGATGGCCTCCTTCTGCTGCTGTGTGAGAGCAGTCACAGATAATGCATACAGGACTGAGCATCTGTGACACGGCTGTGTTCCAATAAAGCTTTATTTGTAAAAGCAGGTGCCAGACAGCTTGCTCCCGCAGGTCTAGGCCTCTGCCTCACCAAGCAATTCTCCCTTCGCTCCTGCTTCCCCAGGACTCCCTTTGTCTGCCTCTGCTTCCCAGTGACACTTAGCGGCGCCCAAGCGTCACGTGGCGGTGACTGACGGTGAGCAGGAGGACGGCTGCTGTGTTTATTCCTCATCAAACTCCATCCGAAGCCCATTTTACGAGGCACCTCAGTTCTCTCCCACAGCCTCGCTGTCTTGCGTCACCCCGGAAAAACTGAGGCATAGCAAGCCAAAGCGACAAGGTGACAGTCTCACGGACAAGGACGGCTGGACACGGTCACCGGAAGCAGCAGGACCCTCTGGCGCGGCCCCCTCCCCAGGAGGCGCAGCACCTTCTCAGGCGCACGCGCGGTGAGGAACCCCGCTTCCTCGGCCGGAACTTTCCAGAGAGTGGGCCTCTGGACTGCGGCCTCGCTCCCGTACTACTGTCCTTCCCAAATCCCTCTCTTTGCACAAGCTAGGCCTTTGGACCCCCGGGGCTCTTTATCTTATCTGCTCCCCCCACCTCGCTGGCTGTCACGTTTGTTATTCTAGGATAAACTTTCTGCCGAAGCAACACATACTTTAAGGTCAATGCCCCGTGTTACCCCAAGGATCGTTCAAATATTTGTGACCTTGTCAACTTGCTTCTCACTGCGTGTGTGTCAAGGCAGCCCGGGTGTGTTTTATTCCTGGGCACGGGGGTGTAGGACAGGCCCCTCCTGCAGGGCCCCGGAGGCCATGTGCAGTGCACCAGCGCTCGGCCAGACTGTGTCTAACAGTGGACTGAAATGAGAAAGGCTGTGTTTATTGAACATTTACTACGTGCTGGGCTCTGATTGAGCGTTGTACGTGTGATCTTCCCGCTGCTTGCAAAGGGCTCTTAAGACCATCTCACTGACAAGAAAATGAGGCTGAAGGGATAGCAGCAATTATAGGGATTGTGTGTGCATGTCTGTGTGTGTGTTCACATGCACTACACACTCACTGGCAGTCTGCTGAAATCCAAAGATCTCTTCTCAGAATAGTTCTTTAAAGTCCATGAAATAAGATAAATAAGGAAGTCATCAAGCAGGGAACAGACATGCACAGTGATGCCTGTGCGTGCTGGTCACCCAGGGTGCCCCGAGTCCCGGGAGCAGGTCTAATAAGGACTACAGGGCAGAGGCAGCATAAGGACAAGGCATGTCAAGTTCTCTGCGACATCAGTCATGTCACCTGACACCCGAGATTTTTCTTGGTGACAAAGTTACAGACAGCGAGGTGGGTGTGGTGGTACAGGCTTGGATTCCCAGCACTCTGGGAGGCTGAGGCAGGAGGATTGCAAGTTGGAGTCCAGCCTGGGCAGCTTAGCAAAACCCTGTCTCAAAACAAAGCAACAATGACAACAAAGGACTGGCTTGGGACATAGCTCAGTGGAAAGGCCCTGGGTTCAATCCCCTGCAAAAAAAAAAAGTGTTCTTAAAAAGTGTTCTAAGAAGACTGCCATCCTTGCTGTGTAATGGGGAAAGATGCTGAGCTTCGGGCCCAGGACAGTGACAGTGTCCTGTGCTTTCTCTGTCCGAGGTTCAGATGCCAAGTTCCAGCCAGGGACCCCTTGGGGGTGTGGGGCCCCAGGGTGAGGACCCAGAGCTGGGGGATGGTGGAGCAAGGGATGCGAAGCCAGCTGGGCCGGCCCTAGGGGCGCCCTCTCACCCAACGGGCCTCCCTCTGCACCCTGCGCTTTGGCCCCGAGTGAACCCGCCAGCCCTGACCTGAGCAGGAGGCCAGGACAGAGAGTCCTGGCCTCCGTGCCTTTGAAGCCAGGCGCCTTTGATGTGTGATTTCACCAAGGCCTCTCCTCGAGCCTCGGTGGCCCCCCTGGGTCACCCAGACGGCCTGGAACCTCTCGGGCTGTGTCCCTTGGGGTTGTTGCTGGCATCTGTCCATCCATCCATCCAACCGTCGTCCGTCTGTCCGTCTGTCTGTCTGTTTGTCATCTGTCCAGCCATCTCCCCACTGCAGAAGGAAGTGCTGTCCTGGTGGCAGCTGTGCCCTGCAGTCTGAAGAGGCTGCACCGCCCCACCGTCCCTATTCCAAGCCCTTCCTTGAGGGAGCCAGGAGCACCATCAGAATGCAGATGCACCGCGATCTGGCCTACGGGACTCTCGGGCTGGCTTGGATTCATGCTGTTGTTTCTTGGCTGTGATTTTGGGAAAGTCACATAAGCTTTCTGAACCTCTCTTTCTCTGTGGGAAAACTGAGGCAGGCTCAGAGAAGCTTGGTGACTGGCGAGTGGATTGGAGGGCTGGGGAGAGAAGGGGTGGAGGTATTCAGCAGAATGGACACTGCCTCTGGTGACAACAGCAATGACAGTAGCAACGACAATAATAGTAGCATGGCAGTGGTCTCTTAGAAAAGTGTGTGCCCCGTGCCAGAAGTAGACATTTACTTGAGTTTTCTTTACTCCGCTCTCGTCCTGCATGTTAGGAACCTTCCCGCACTCGGTGCTGATGACAAGCCTGGGATCAGAGAGGCTGCCTGAGTTTCCCAAAGTCACACAGCCAGGGTCGGTGGACCAGGTGTGGCCGGGCCAGGGGCCTTCTTCAATTCGAAAGCCCCAGGGGAGGCTGCTTGGGACCGGAGCCTCTGTCCCAGGCGGGGACAGTTGACAGTGGCAATCGGCCGCAGGACGGAGATGAGCCCTGGCTCCTCCGAGGACTCAGCATCGGGGAAGGGACCACAGGCTTCGAAGCAGACAGAAAAGCGAGGTGAGGGCAGAGGCTGAGAGACTGTGGTGGGCGTGGTGGAGGAGGCCCCGGAGGAAGTCAGCAGCTCCCCCAGCTTGGCTGGGTTCCAAGGCGACCCGAGGCCGCTCCCAGACACAGAAGCGAGGCGACATCTCCAGCTCCTCCTTCCTGCTCCCGGAGCCCTGGAAACTTGAACTTGGGCTGCACTGCCCCAGGACCCCTGCAGGACTGCATTCCTGTGCCGTGGACTCAGGACCCGAAGTCCCGCGAAGTCCCGCGCCGGGATGAGTCCGCCCGGCTCCCGGACTCCCGCGCGACCCCAGCTCACATCTGCAACCCATCTGCACATCCGGGCTCTGGGAGAGGAAATCTCCCGGTGGGGACTGCGGGCCTGGCCCGCACAGCCCGAGCCTCCTGGGCTTCTGGCCTTGGTCAGCTCCCTGAGTCATCTCTCCTTGGGCCCGTCCTCTGCTGGACTTACGCGCAGGGCCTTTGATGAGCAGAGGAGATAATACATCCACTTTGAGAAAGATAAAGTGCAGAGCCCAGTCTGTGCCCGCTGCTGCCAGGGCTCCTGGAGATCAGGCCGGGCCCGCACTCCCTTCCTGCCTGCAGCCTCTGCAGGTCTAGGACACGTTCGGTGACCGCACTGCCCTTAGCAGCAGTTCCGGGACCATCTGAGCCTGCAGGTCATCAGGGCGCGGAGTCAGTTTGCCGACTTGACAGGCAAGGGCCCGAGGCTCAGCGCCGTCGGGGAAAGCGGCCAGGGTCTTCCAGCTTCTCAGACTTGAGCCTTCTAGCCCCCAAACCTAGCGGAACACAGGGCGTTCCCTGAGACGAGCTCAGCCAAAATCAAACACAACTCCTGAGAAATAAGCGATGTGTGGTTTTACAAAGAATGCCCCTTGAAGCTCCTCCTGACTGGCAGGAAAGACACCTCTCCCTGCACTGTGGCCCCGGGAGTTGGACCCAGTGGCTGTCCTGCTGAGGGACAAAAATCGAAGCCCTCACAGTTGGCTGAGACTGAAATGGCTGTTCAGGGCCAGTGTCCTCTTCATAGCAGCCAGGCCAGACAGTGCCTGGACACTTGCAGACATAAGAAGTTTACTCCTGCAGGATGCCCTGGTTTCCTTGTCACTTACAGACTCCACTGCAGCGGGAAATGTGTGCAGCCACACCCTTGCAGAGATGCATGGGCAGCTATGCACAGGGGTATTCACAGCTACTTTGCAATGGCAAAAGCTTTGAACCAATCTATACATTTCCCTCACAGGGTGCATGCATCAAATACAATAGATTCCTTCAATGGAATATGATATAGTCATGAAAAAGAACGAAGACTGAAGGTATCCTAGGAATAATCTCTCGGGAAAGGTTTATTCCTGGGAATTTCCTGCAAAATAGTAGTATTCATGCTTCAAAAATCAGTGCAAAACAAAGCTATGTATTTTGTATGGTAAATAAGTGTGAAGGTACTTAAAGAGTTTTATAAAGGTAATTACACTTTGAGAACAGTGGGTCTGTCTGGGGAAAGGGAGAGAAGACTGCTCTGAATTTACTTGCAGTGTCGAATAATATTTTTAGAGATGATAGAGTACTGTATGCTT